TCACCTTAAATGGTGCAGCAGTTACATTGTGGTGCCTGAGGCTGCACCATTTAAGTTGCAATGGGAAAATTCGAAAAAGAAGCTGACTTGAGCTTTGTGTAAGAAGGTGCTAATCTATTTTGAACCTCTACACGGATTAAGGGATGCTGTAGCTTACTTAGCTACAAAGCTTACGCAGCATTAACAATCATTGTAAATAAATAAACAACTATACCATGCTAAGATACCCTATATAGGCTATTAAATGAAATAAGCTTAATATAAAACCAGAGGAAAAACAGTCACATCAACAGGTTCTCTGTGCATCACCAACCACACGGCCATATCTACACATAAACATCACACAAACAATAAGCATCGCACAAACCTGAGTGTGGATCACTGCATTCTCTCCGTTATATAATCCTATCCCACGTTCTGATAGCAGTATTCTTGAAATAGTGTAATTTTGGACAGTACCTTTCCTAAACTGCCACTCTGTAATGGAACTGAATGCAGTCCAGTAGTGATATTGACTGCTCCAAAATGGCAATGTGCCTGGCTGGACCCAACACTGCATCTACAAATATATATATACATACATACATACATCATCTAAACCGCTTATCCTTCTGGGTCACGGTGGGTTGCTGGAGACTATCCCAGCTGTCATTGGGCGGAAGGAAGGATACACCCTGGACAGGTCGCCAGTCCATCGCAGGGCAGACAGACAGACATATACATTCACACCTAGGGGCAATTCAGCGTTTCCAATTGGCCTGACTGCATGTCTTTGGACCGTGGGAGGAAACCGGAGTACCCGGAGGAAACCCACGCAGACACGGAGAGAACATGTAAACTCCACATAGAGAGGACCCCGGTGGCCCGGTCGCCCATCGAACCCAGGCCCTTCTTGCTGTGAGGCGACAGCGCTACCTATGGCGCCACCGTGCAGTCTACTTATCATCACTCATTTTCCACTCACAGTCTGAACTACTTATTTTTTCTATACTTTGTAAATTAGTTTAGCAAATATTTTTTTTTTTCTCTCAGTTGGTTGTAATATTTGTCTAAGTTTATTTTCTAAAATAAAAGGCTCTGCAGGACAAAAATCTGGGTGGTCCGAGGGTGGACCAGCAGTGGCAAACAGTCAGCAGGGTGCCAACCTTATCAACTAGAGGACTGATATATGCTTGTTATCTGGGTTTCATGTGAAGTGGCATGAAAATAAATTTCCCGTTTTGTAATTTGTGTTTATGCATATAGAAACAGTTGCAGTATTCGATTCTGATAAAATTGCACTTGATGCTTGATTCTAGGTGGTTGTGACAATATACTAGCAAAGTAGATCACTTTTGCTACCTGTATCTCATTGTCAGTTTGTTGACACAGCCTGGTAGAAAACTGTGATGTGACGTTGTTAACATTCTGGTGAATTTCTGTTCGAATACATTGTGGAAACGTAAAGAACAGCAGACACCATTGTGGGATTCAAAACAACAGCTTGCCAAAATGATGTCAGAATGGCTGGGATTTTAAAAGAGCATTTAAAAGGTGAGAGGCAGTTTTTGAAACCATCCCGCAACATTACAAAGTTTTCCTAAAGGTTTCAATAATCTGAAAATTATGGGAACATTCTCAGAACCATAATGTACAATCAAAGGGGAATTTCTGTTTCCGTAAAGAAAAATTTCTGGGAAAATCAGATGGGAACCAAAACCTATTCATTCTCATAACATTTAGGGAACCAAAAATTGTTAGCTGGGTAATACTCATCATCCATGATTTCATTCAGGGTCGCATTCTCCCACTCCTCAAACTCAGAAAGAGAGAGAGAGTAAGAGAGAAAGAGCACAGAAGGGAGAAAATGCATGGGTGCTTGAACTTTCGGTAAAAAAGGCAAATCTACCACAGTGTAAAACAATAATCATTATAACTTACCAAAGTAAGTAAACTGGATGTTGTAATATTTTAAGTTCACTAAGCATATCATTAAGTTTCAGAACAGAATCATGAAGATTCTGACATTCACCATTGTTTTCTTATTTGGGCTCAAAGATATGAACAACAAGAACATGTCATGAATCTGACGTAGGCTTTTTCTTAGGACCTTTCTTATGAACAAATTTAAAAAAAACTTTCGAAGATATTGCTGAATTAAGTCCAATGATGTGTTACAATCTGTTAACTCTGTTTTTGAATTACAATAAAATAAAACATTCAAGGCAGCCAGGTTAATAACTTTTTAAACAATTTAAGTTCCAAATTAGTTTTTTGCAGTGTACTAAAAAATCGCTCTTTCTAGAGCCAGCCCGACAATTTACCTGAAAAATGTTTACCCAATTTTGTATTGCTCTGTCGGGCTGATATACCGTAATGTTCATCAGGACACAACATTTCAGAAGGAATGCTTTGTTGTAACATGAATTTTATATTTAAATATTGTTTCTTGTTTGGTTTTAGGCAAGAAGAGTTTAACTGAATGACTGTTCAGCAGTTTAAAATGTACAAAAACTGTAGATAAAATACTCCTCTGTTAAGAGGACATTAGAGAGAAGATGTGTTGATGTGGAGAGATGGCAAATGTGCAGAGGACTCGGATAAAGGTATTATTGAGGAAGCATCATCTTTTTTTTTTTTTTCACTTTCCATTACGGTGGTTTCTTATTTTGTTTGTTTTTTTTAATGATTGCGTTTTGTTCATGTGAAAATCCTTGCATTGAATAAAAAAGTAGCAACTGCACATTTTACAGGTCAATTAAAACTATCTGGGGAATGATATCCCAAAACAATCCTATAGTGAACTGGGCTGAGCTCTGGATCTTTACATGCCCAGCCAACACCCCTGGACAATGAGGTATCTAAAGCTGCATTAACACGTTCACTAATCACTCTACAGAACCTCCTATATAATGAAGGAAGTAAAGTTCACCACTAAGCTTTCAAACACAGCATATGTATTTATAACTATGGCGGGAACTGCCACTTCCGTCCGTCATGCAGAAATCCAACCCCCTCAAAACGAAACTAAAACAAGACACTAAAACGGGCAGACGTCTGGTGACTGGCTGAAATGTGACTTTCCTGTTGATTCCTTCCCAAATAATATGTGGTCCTTTATGGGAGGCAAATCCAGTCAAAAAAGAAATTAAAATTAAAACAATAAAATGAAAATGCAAACCTCTTTTTGCCATTTCTTTTTCCAAACATCTGTGCAAATATCCTGCCAAAATTGAAAATGAAATGAAATGCCTACATTTGCAAATTCATTTTTCACATGAGCGCGAGTCGTTTGTGACAAAAATAAAAATAAATGTAAAACTGCTGTTTGTCATTTCATTTTAGTCGTTATTCTGGTTTTTCATGGCCAAATCTAAAATTAAAAAGCTAATAGAGAAAAGAAAATCCAAGCTTCACTTTGGCTTTGGCTTTTCTTCATGAAGTGCAGAATACGAGTCAAAACTAAAACCAAAATGCAATGTTCACTTTATTTCACAGCAAAGTGACGGTTTGTGATTCAGTTTTCGGCGCGGACGCGCTTTAAGTGTCAGAATGAAAAGGCAAATGCGAACAAACATCAGCGCCACCTGCTGGACATTTACTTTACATTTTCCACTTTTCGATTTCGTTTTCAAACTGACCAACATGCAAATATATGTTAATTAGCACTGGGCGGGGCTACGGGGTACATTTTAGGACATCCTCAGTCCTCCGAGTCAGAGCGGCATCATTCCTCAAGCTAAACGACTTCGAGTCTCGAGAAAAACCATCGTCATGACTCAGATCTGGTGAAACTGACACCGTCAGACCAAACGGCTTCAGAGAAAAGGTATCAGACCAAACGCAGGCCTGGTCGAGCACAGACTGGTTCATATAACTTAGAAAACTATTATGTATCTCGATATAAATGCCAGTATAACATGTCCAGTTTTTTCTGACGGTGTTTGTTCAGTTTCACCAGATCTGAGTCATGACGATGGATTTTCTCGAGACTCGAAGTCGTTTATCTTGAGGAATGATGCCGTTCTGACTCGGAGGTCTGAGGATGTCCTAAAATGTACCCCGTAGCCCCGCCCAGTGCTAATTAAAATATATTCGCATGTTGGTCAGTTTGAAAACGAAATCGAAAAGTGGAAAATGTAAAGTAAATGTCCAGCAGGTGGCGCTGATGTTTGCATTTGCCTTTTCTTTCTGACACCTAAAGCGCGTCCGCACCGAAAACTGAATCACAAACCGTCACTTTGCTGTTGATTTATCAGTTTTGCATTTTCATTTTCATTTTGTCAGATATGCAGCCGATTGCTTTGAAAAAGAAATGAGAACGTGAACACTGCATTTTGGTTTCAGTTTTGACTCGTATTCTGCACTTCATGAAGAAAAGCCAAAGTGAAGCTTGGATTTTCTTTTCTCTATTAGCTTTTTCATTTTAGATTTGACCATGAAAAACCAGAATAACGACTAAAATGAAATGACAAATAGAAGTTTTACATTTATTTTTATTTTTGTCACAAATGACTCGCGCTCATGTGAAAAATGAATTTGCAAATGTAGGCATTTCATTTCATTTTCAATTTTGGCAGGATATTTGCGCAGATGTTTGGAAATAGAAATGTCAAAAAAGAGGTTTGCATTTTCATTTCATGGTTTTAATTTTAATTTCTTTTTTGACTGGATTTGCCTCCCATAGTTCTTAGCTTTTTTTCCAAATAGCCCAGGCTCTCCCACCCCCTAGGTCTTCTGTGGACACCCCAACTCAGATTTTGTTCTGGCACCAGGTTACTAATCCTGTGCAGGGACTTCTCGGAAAGTTTGGAAACGTGGTTCAATCAACACACATTTTCATGTGGAAATCATGTTTTATAAACCATTACTTAAAGGTGAAGTTTCACATGTATAAATGAGGCTCCAGTTGTCACCCTACAGAGGCCCTGTCACTCACAAAGGATTCTCTATTAGCCTGCTACTCCTAAAAGTAATTACAGAAGACTAAATTACAAAGACGAAAAATTACTGATACTTACTCAGCAATGTTTCCAAAGGATCTTGTCCTCCTAGCTCTTCAGCACTTCTGAAGCTCTGTGTAAACAGACTGATTGCATGCAAAGCCTTGAGGAACAGATCTTTTATATGTATTGAGAGGGTCAAGTATCACCAAATAATCCCCCGCCCCTTGTGTTATGTTACTTCATTTTATTTCCTTAGGCTCCTTATTTTACTTCCAGTTTTGCCCTCAGTCTGTCTGTGATGATTCAGTGGCTGAGGAAAGCTGCTTGTATCAGGGTCTGTGAAGTTATTGATAACATGGTGTAAAGTTGTTGTCCTACAGCATAGATGAACCTTGAATGACTGTGGATCCAAACAGAACCAAAGATGACTATATGAGTTCTGTAAATAGGAGGAAGACCAAATGTATAACTTGAAATATACAGTTAAAAGCACCATGTGTACAGATGGAGAAATGAAACAGAGAGAAAGAGAGAGAGATAGTGAGGGTGTAGTAGTAGAAATTTATCAGTTCTTTACTGTCTGAAGTGTAATTTATGTAATATGTAAGTGTACTTCTAGGAAAAACATTTAATATACTGGAGTGAGTGGCAGCACTAACTTAGAGGAGTCTAAAAAAACAGGGAAGAATAAACTATAAAGTTGTACACTGAAAAAAGTGAAACAACCATGTAATTTATTTAAAGTGTATTTTTATAATGGTGTAATTGAATATTATGATTTCCAGTTCAAAACTTAAAATAAATAATTTTATTGAAATAATATTTTTACTTCAAGCCAGACGTTTTGATGTCACGTGACCTCATGACATCATATCAGATCACTCCTCGTGCAGTTTTGCTGTCCGCCGTTACTTCTCTCAGAAAGTGCAGCTTTTCTGTTGTAGACGGCGACTCTTCAAGGTAAGGATTAGAAAGTCTGTTTTTTAAGAGAATGTGTGCTGTACATGTAAAATTATGGTTAGTAGCAGGATAGACGGCTAATTGGTACTTTGCAGACTGTCTTTGCGTTTTGCTTGCGAGTTAGCTTGCTAGCTAGCTAAACCAGGTTATTTCAAAAAACGTAACGTTTGCTAGCTACAAATTTGTAGGCTTCCCAAGTTTATTGTGCCTACTTTCCTTATAATATAACAGTCGAAACTCGACTTTTGCTGGTTTAACATTCGCGAATTTAGCTACGGGTTTGCCGTCAATAATTAAATGTGATTTTTAGGAGTTTGCGACCAACTGCAGACAATCTCATAACGCATAGGCTGGAAACGTAGCTAGGTAAAGAAAATGAGAAAGGTTTGGTGAGTCGTAAATGCGTACATTTATGTATTATGGAGTAAATGCGTTTAGATATGTGACGCCACGCTCTTTGACTTGGTTTTACACAATGTTTTTGGGTAGTGCATGTGGTCAGCATTATGAAGAGACAACATTAAGATTTTGGGGGCCTAGAGATATTCAAGTTTTTCCACCTTTGTGGAAGTCCTTCGGAGGGTTAACGCTTCTGGATATGGAGGGCATTCAACTTAAACGATAATGTTTGCAGTTATCGTCCCAAATAAGGAAATCAGTGTCAATCAGTTTTCAGAAATGTACGTTCAAAACGTTTATGGAGACAAATAATGATACCTCTAGTAGGAGTTACAAGTATAAATGCTCTATAAAATGAATATCTACTCGTCTTAAAAGGTGTTGCTTTCCTACTGTAGAAAAAACTGACAGCAAACATAACTATGTCAATAAATTAAATGCAAATGTCCCCATGCTGCATTTGTAAATTGTACTAAGTGGCAAATGGGTAAGGTGGTTTTTCCCTTCTTTCATAGTCTTCTGATGAATGTGGAAATGCAAAGACTGTGGTACTTCTGTTTCATGAAGATCTGAGCTTCTTAAACATTATAAGCTTCAACACAGACATTATGGACACCGCCATTCATATCTGTGCATCTATTTCAGTTTTCCATGCACCTGCAAGACTTGGAATGCACTTTTGAGTCACTTGTCAAGATGTCATCAGCCATCCTCACAAAATGAATTGACCACATTTAAATGTCTCTTATGCAATTGCAAGCAACGTTCAACTTTGAAAGACTGTTTTCAACATATAGCACAGCATCTGCAAAAGAACGAAACGGTTGTTTGTGTGTTTCGGGGTGTTCATACAAAACAAATATTTATGGTTCGTTTCGAACTCACAGGAGCAGAAATCATAAGGATTGTTCAGTAAATGACTTAAAATCTGGAGTACTTGAGAAACAGGGGTCAAGCTTAGGTTTTTCTGTGGAAAGTCATTATTCTGAGAGTGTCACAATCGATGACATTGGTACTGAGCCCTCAGATGATTTAAGTACAGAAGGCTTGGGTGATTCTAGTTTTGATGTTCAGGATTGAAATGACTTAAATGTTGAGCTCAAAGTTGCGTCTCTCTTACTGAAGCTAGAACATATTTATCTTGTTTCTAGTGTGGCTGTCGATGAACTTTTGCAAGAGTTTGAGTATTTAATAAGCTCTGCTTCTGTACCTCTTGTTCATCAAACCATTGCTCAGCACTTACAGAATGTTAACTGTCAAGTAGATGAAACTGTTCTGCAAGAACTAGCATGTACTGTTTGTTTGTAAGTCATCCAGTAACAGCTTCTTTTGGTACTCATGGCCCACTTTCCACTGCCTGGAAGCGAAAGACCTACTACAAAAAACATTTTAATGTTATAGAACCTATAGAACTTATCCTTGACTCTCAGAACAGAAAATCCTTTCAATACATCTCTATACTTAATTCTTTACAGCAGATCCTCAGTTGTAAAACTTTTTTGGATAAATCGGTCAATTTGAAAGCTACCCATCAAATTCAGTCAGATAAAATTCTGTATAAATCCTTTTGTGATGGTATTAATTACAAAGAAAATGTTCAGCTGTCAAATGAGTGTGTTTTTTCACTTATTTTGTATATAGATGATTTTGAAATCTGTAACCCCCTCGGCACCTCAAGAAAAAAAAACATAAAATCTGTGCAATATATTGGGCATTGGCAGACTTACCTGCTAGTTGTCACTCATCGCTGTCTAACATATATTTAGCTGCGCTTATTCATGGTGAGGATGTTAAGTCCTATGGTTATGAGAGTGTATTAAAGCCCTTAGTAGATGTTCTTGTTACATTAGAACAACAAGGACTCTTTATTGCCAAGTTGGGGAAAACGGTGAAAGACTTTGTTCATTGTGTTTTAGCAGACAATCTTGGGGCCCACAGTATCGCAGGTTTTGTGGAAAATTTTTCAGGTAAATATGTTTGCAGATTTTGTACAGCAGAAAATGTAGACATACAAACAAAAGAAGGCAAGTCAGGAGCATTTTGTCTAAGACGCAAGGACATTCATACTTCTCATCTTAAAGCTATTGAAGAAAATTCATTGTTTAGTCATTTTGGTGTAAAAAGGAGGTGTGTTCTGTCAGAAAGTCTGTCATATTTCAGTCTGACGCAGAGTTTTCCCCCCAGATATAGTTCATGACCTCTTTGAAGGAATTATCCCTGTTGAGATTGCTCTGTGTCTAACTAAGCTAATTTCTAACAAATATTTTACATTAGCCTGTTGAGATTTCTTCCTCTCTTGATTGGAACCAGAGTTCCTTTAAACGAGCCAGTGTGGGAAGTTCTCTGTGAATTAAAAGACATAGTAGAACTTGTTGTTGCACCTTTTCACACTGAGGAATCTATTTCTTATCTTGACGTCAAGATATCGGAACACAGGACAGTACTTCAAGAAGTTTTCCCTCTTGGAAAAATCCTGCCTGAACATCATTATTTGGAGCATTATCCACAGTTGATATGCCAGTTTGGCCCCCTTGTTGCACTATGGACTATGAGATTTAAAGCAAAACATAGTTTCTTCAAACTGTTACAAAAATGTACTGTATTCATCAGCTCAGAGGCATCAGTTTCAGACTGCACAATCTTCATATGTGTAAATTTTCTAAGGCAACTTTGGAGGTTACTGATGTTTCAACACTTCCCCTTGAGGTTCTAAATGAGGATATTGTACTGGCAGTGAAACAGAAACACACACATATGGATACTGTGAACCTTGCAAAAAATGTGTCCTACAATGGCTTCAACTATAAGACCGGAATGGTGGTAGCCCATGGGTCGCTGTCTGGTCTTCCAGAGTTCTGTGAAATAGTTCAAATGATTGTTGCACAAGAGACACTAATTTTCATTGTCAAAAAATTGGATGCCTGGTACCTGGAGCATTATCGAGCTTATGACTTGGTCATATCTACTACTAGAGAGCTAAGGCTTGTTGAGGCACATGAACTGAATGATCACTACCCTCTGGTACCCTACATGGTCAGTGGACGACACCTCATCTCTCTGAAGAGATAAGGTATATGTATGGGTGTGGTATTGAAAATGTTGAAGAAATTTTTTAATGTTATGAACTGGCATTTACAACAGATTTCCTTAAGTGGTTCACTTGTTTATACACAGATTTTTTTAAGATATATAATATTAAATCGGAAGTTCACCTTATTTCACATTTGAGCAAAATGCATTGATCTTTGTACGCTAATTGATTTCTCAACCTGAATTTCCTGATTTAATCATTTTTAAAAACATGGCAGTAAAACAAAGAGCATTTGTTGTGACTACTGGAAATGCTATATTAAAAACACCTTGAGGATTTGTGTTTGGGGCCGAATTCACAAAAGTGTCTTAAGAGAAACTCTTCTTAAATGTGCTTTTCTTTTAACTTTATACACAAGAACTTCTTAAAAAAACTCAATTATTTGATTAAAAAATGTTTTTAGGTAAATTTTGCTCAAATGTGAAATAAGATGACCTTCCCTTTAATACAATTGCTTCCTTATGCCCATACAGGCATATCACTAATGAAAGAGAGAGATATTTGCTCTCCCTTTTCATTGTAAAAATGAGACTCGGCTAATGATAACGTAAGGCTTTAGTTTGTTTTCCAAATAACAAAGTTATTTAGTGCGACTTTTTTTGAGTTTTGAATAAATTAATTTATTAATATAAATTAAATATAAGTTACAGCCAATTTTGTACACCTTATGCTGTTTTTATTGTATTTTTT